GGGAGCCCTAAATGCAGCCTCCCATGCTGCCAGCGCACTGGCCAGCCTCTCCCCTCCCCTCCACACAGACCTACGAGGAGCATGAGTGGGTCATCCACCTGGCCGGCAAGCTGCTGACCAACGATGCCCAGGCCCTGTCCCTGCTGGCCCACAACCCGTTCGAGGGCAGAGCACCCCCAAGGTGAGACGTAGCCCCCTGCCTGGGTCAGGCTTAGCTCTGGGAATGTGGGAGAGGGAGGATGCTCCCTAGGGTCTACAATGCCCAGCCAGCATATGGGAGGGGCGTGAGAGGGCCTGCTGGTCAGCCCACCCCACCCCCACCCCGGAAAGTGGAGGATCAGAGGTCAGAGTACAGGGCGAGCAGAGTCCGTGAGGTGGGAGCTCTCTGCCCATTATCTCACTCACGTGGGGAGCAATGAGGGTCCCCATGGGGTGGCTGGATTTACCCCAGGATGTCACCACTTAGGGGAACTGACCACAGGAGGGCAGAGAAGGCCTGCGGTCACATGGCCGGTCACATGGCCCTGCCCTCCTACAGGGGACCTGGAACCACAAACGTAGGTCCCCTGAGATCTGCAGCTCTCGGGCCCCAATTCGAAGTCTCTGGGCAGGGGGCTGGGCTCTGGGCAGACCTCGCTGACCCCACTGGCCCCCACAGGTGGGTCCGCGCCGAGCATTACCGCTACAAGTTCAGCCGCCCCGGGGGCCTGCACGCCAACCAGGGTGAGTGGTGGGTCCGCAAGAGGATCGGCCCCTACTTTCCCCCTCTCAGCCTCAGGGACCTGAAGGGCTACTTTGAGGCCAGGGAGTGGCCACACCCAGAGCTCGCTTAGGGGACTGCACCGACAAGACCACGGCGAAGCGGCTGGGCTGGGGCGAGTGACCCGACATGGACCCCGCCTGCCTTACTCTACTTGTTTCTAATAAAGTGAACTGAGGAGGGCACCACGGGGTGTCCCCCAGCTCTGCCCCCACCCTCCCTACATGCAAGTCTGGTCTGAGGCCCCATTCCCCTCTGTGTTGGGCACGCTGCCAAGGGAGGGCTCCCAGAGAGGGATGCTGACTTGGGGAGGTAGGGGAAGCTTGGAGGGGCACACTGCCGAAGGGGTTGCACAGGGAGTCCCCAGGCCGAGGTTGCCATGTGCCCAAGTGGACGTGGGCACTTGGTTCCAGCCCCAGCCTTCTCTGGCCACAGTCCCTCCTGGGTCACTTAGTATGTTGGGGGGGGGCTCGGGGTGGCAGGGCCTGGAGGTCCTGGTCCATGTGCTTAGCCCTCTGCCCTGTCCCTGTGGCCCTGACTCTACAGATACTCTCTCAGCACGCACCCAAGACCCCTCTGCTGAGACGCCGGCACCACGCCCGCCAGCCCGTCTCAGAGCCCAGTGAGACCACGCTCACACGGCCTGGCGCTCGGGTGGCCTGGGAGCAGCTGAGCCATGTCTGAGACCCCCGACCTCCTGCTGAGGCAGCTGCACTCCTGTCTGTCCACATACCACACCACACACACACATGAACACACCTCATATACACATACACAGTAGAACCCCGGACCTCAACACTAATCCGTTCTAGAAAGAGCGTCGAGATGCAATGCCATCGACCTCCGAATCATTTTTTCCCATAAGGAATAACAAATGGATTAATCCATTACACAGAAATTTCAACGTAAATAAGTTCAGAGTTAAATGATATAATTTAAATCAGAAACACAACATTAAAAAGAGCTTTCAACAACTACGTGGCCCATACCTTGAGGCGGATGAGGATCTGGATCTGTGGACACGGGTGTGGAGAGAGAGGCAGTGTGTGGAACGGAATCCCCTTCCCTCAAATCGACTGGTGGCTGCTTCTCAGGAGGTTTTTCCCTTCTTTGCTTTTTCACTAGGACCTGGCTGGCTTCCTCTAAAAAAAAATTCTGTCTAATGTGGTCTGCTGTTGGCATTTCCTTAACTGTTTTCTAAAAGGGTTTACTAAATTACCGTCAACAACATCGATAACACAGTTAACCAGTTCCTCATGATGATTCTTTTCAAAAACCTTTCTTAGGACCCACGTTTTTTAT